GAGCCGTATGATGAGCGGTTGTCATGTCCACGTGGATACCAGAGCTCATGTTTAGCCCAAAGTACCCGGGACTGGACCTGACCGATGCAGAGTCGTAGGAGGTCGTCCGCTCCTTCTTGGGATAAGCGCAGCCATTGACATCGTCGTCTTTGCAGGTCACGTAAGGGAAGAGAGGGAAAACACCCAAAGAGGGCTGCCCACCAGTCCCCGAATCATGCATGCTAGAAAATCCGGTAATACTACTGCCATCGTAGGCGAAGCCTCCCTGATTATTGACCGAGTCCGTATCGGCGACAGCCTTGGCCATGCCGTATGGGATCGTTGCGCCCGCGAAGACATTACCTGAACACCACGGGTGGTCAGAATTGCGCCCTAAACATAGCTATTACGGGGTAGACCTCGTGCATACCTCCATTAGCACTTCCAATCAGAGGATTGATGTATTGTAGAACATCATAGTCGTCGACCGACGCGGAAGAGTTGGCGCAACCTGCAATGCAGGGGAGGGCTACGGACACAACCAAATGCCTCCAATTAATCATGTCGGCGATAAATGATTGAGCAAGGGAATGACAGAAGCGAGTGACGGGCGTGGTATATGTTTACACGATTAGACTGGTATGCTGACATGGCCATCAAGGGAGACAGGAATGAGACCATGTCCCCGCGAGAAGGAGGGAGGGGGGAGGGGGAGTATCATCGACATCCTTCTCAAGCATGAAGAGCAATCTCATGCCCCTGATATGAATTATTGACAAGGGTTATCGCTGCAATGTAACCTTTGTGGCTCCGTATGACCAGTCTGAAGCACGATGATCGTGCAGGCAAGCGTTTTTAGCGTCTCTCCCTGGCATGAAGCGAAAGGGTCATCTGTACAACAGACAGGTCTGAGTCCCGCGGGAAGCTGGGCCAGTTGCTTCTTCTATCTACATGAAGCGCTACCAAGCATGATTCTGAACCAGCATGGTGGAGCAAGCTGATCGACGAGACGAAGGAAGAGGTTGAAGAAGAGCAAAAGAGAAGCAGATAAGATGCGGAGGCGGAGTTATTGATCGGGAAGGATTGTCAGATTTACCGAATTGAAGGACAGACCATTTAAACCCAACTTACCCCTATATTTATAAGGGGAATCTGGAAAGTGATTTCAGTTTCTCTCGCCATCAGGACTACTGGGTACTATCCCTCCCCGACTCTTGCAAATGGACAATGGAGGAAGATGCCAAAGTCAATTGCAGGGCCCCTTGCAAGAGCAGCCGAGGTTCCAACGCAGTGCCGCCGCCCCGCCCGACGCCAATCAACGGAGCCTCGACCGATTTTCACGATGCGGAAAACCATGGGACTTTCTCCTGGGAAAAGAACAGGGCGAGCCCAATTTGAATATTTTCGCTGGAACTGGTCTTAAATGGCGCCGCAAAAGCAAAGCAACATCGAGGCTCTGCTGATCTGATCGAGGGGCTCCTTTGCGCTTTATTCCCCCCCCAAAGTCCATTCATTCCATTGCGTCTCTCCTTTTTCTGTTCTCCTATAAAAAACCTAAGAAACCCTCTCGTTCCATCTCCAGTGTCAGAGAGTCCACAATCGTCGCCATGCCGCCGGTCCCAACAATGCTAGGCTCCACTACCATGGCCAGAGCTGTTGCTCATGCTCTTCCTCTGTCGCGTTTGCCTCCCACCCAATTTTCTGCCCTGTGCCGAGGCATCTCCCTATCCCAACTTCTTGCACACAGAGTTTATTCCACTGCTTCTGCAGGTATGTATGCCCCCCTTCCTTGCACAACAACTTTATGCTTTGAATAGCATTCAGACTGAATAAAAGCACTTATTCAAAATCCAAGTGCCCTAACTAATCACAATCAAACTTACAGAGGCCGCATCCCTCCCCTCACAAGCACCTCCGACTCGCTCCCGCTTTCGCCGCTTCGTCGGATTCACCACTCTAGCAGTCGTCGCTTTCACTGCTGGCTTGACCTACCAAACCTCCAAATCTGTGTCGCGCATGATGACGCTCAGTCTAGCTACCGATGAGGAGACTCTCTCCGCCTTCGTCCCTCACGATGAGTTCTCCAAGCAGGTCAACGACTATATCCGCAACCACCCTCTGGCCGTGTCGCTGCGCAACGATCCTGCTTTCACCGAGTCCCGCCCGCACATGAAGATACCGGAGAAGCTGCGCGCGCGCACTCTCACAGGCGGCACACTCGCTGGACCGGACAAGATCGTGGCTCCCCCGCTAGTATTCTGTGAAGAGGGCGGAAAGAGCTTAGTCTCAATTTTCTACCTCGGACCCAACCTTTGCGGTCACCCGGGAATTGTGCACGGTGGATTGCTGGCCACGTTGCTGGATGAGGCCATGGGCCGCTGCTGTTTTCCTGCTCTGCCGAATAATGTGGGTGTGACCGCCAACTTGAACTTGGATTATCGCAAACCCGCCATGGCCGGCAACTATGCCGTTTTGCGGGCGGAGACTGTCAAGGTCGAGGGTCGGAAGGCCTGGGTGGAAGGTCGCATTGAGACGCTTCCCGAGGACGGAAAGGAACCGGTTGTGCTCGTGGAGGCCAAGGCCTTGTTTATTGAGCCCAAGCAGGCCGCGGTAGGTTTCAGATGATCGAATCATGATGCAAGACGAGGCTAATCAGACATGCAGGCTATGTCGACTCTTTACAACATGACCAAATAATTGGCACCCATCTGATTTCGATTTTAACTATAAATATTGGATATTTCTTGAGAGTCATTGCGACTCGAACATTTAACAGGCGTATAGATGGTTGGAGAGCTACATTTGGATTGTACATATAGATAACTTTTGTTCAATATACTATACCTATTCTAGATTGTGAATTTTGATAGACAAACCCAGAGCACGAGAGAAGAAAAGGGCCACAGTAGCTGCCGTTGTGGCCTTATCATGTAGGCGTTGGGCTACGGCCCAGGTTATGAAGACACCGTGGAATTGCTATGATCATTGTCGCACAGGTGTCAACTTGTTACCGAATGGATATTCAGGTCCAGAGGATTGCAGATCCATGTTTCCTTTCAATAGAGTTTCACGATCTGGAGGTTGCATTTGACGTCACACTCACGCCAGCTTGTGAACATCCCCCAAAAAAACACAAGCTGCTAACTACGAAGTATCAACACCCAGCATCATATTACTTCGACTGGCGCAATCATTCACGATGGTTCAAAGCATCACTATTGATCCCAATGACCTCCAGCCCCCGACAAGACATCCTCCGTCCTCTGACAACCCTCCATCGAAGCTCCCCCCGGCCAAAGAAAGCAGGGTCCATCCCTCCAAACCAGGCGGGGAGAATGCGTCGATATACTTCGTTGGCACTGCCACGACGATCATGCGCGTGAATCCTTGCTAAATTAACAATATCAAATCACAGACTAACAAAATTATGCAGACAATGGCATGGAATCCGCATCATGACTGATGTATGTACCACATGCGCCAATCCGGAAGTCTAGACAGATGCGGGAGATATCATTAGGAATGCTAACTAACTAGCTCAGCCCAACTTTCTTCACGCAGGGGACCACGTCCATCTCGGCCCTGGGGTATCCTCGACTCGAAAGACGAATCCGGCTGTAGATCTGGAAGAGCTACCGCGGATCGACTTGGTGCTTCTATCTCATTATCACGGGTAGACAGCCATCTTCACATAAGAATGGCTTGGACAAGAAACAGGCTGATGAACGAAATTGTAGCGATCACTTCGATCAGAAAGTCGAAGCCTCTCTTCGTCGCGACCTTCCCATCGTTACGACCCCCCATGCCAAATCCATTTTGACGTCTAAAGGAGAAGACTCGTTCACGAGAGTATCCAGCGTGGAGGTATACGAGCAGCTTACAGTCGATATCAAACACAACCAGAATGACGCACAGCGACAGCAACGGCCCAAGCTCCGGATAACCGGTATGCCAGGGAAACATATCCCAGTTGGAAAGCCGTTAGAGAAGTTGAATGAGCTGATTGGGGCGGTATGTTTCTTCCTCCCACGTACATCTTAGCTTGACAGACATTGATTATTACGATGGAATAGATCCCGCCTACAAACGGATGGATGCTCGAGCTAGGCTACGGTGGCAATGACAACGCAGACAGTTTCACCTCCGGTTATAGGATCTATATCTCAGGGGACACGCTCATGTTCGATGATCTCAAGGAGATTCCCCGTCGGTATGCAGGACAACCAATCGATCTGATGCTGGTTCATCTAGGTGGCACGACAGTACCCTCGCCGTCCATGTTGCCATTAGCGATGATGGTAACCATGGACGCGAAACAGGGAGTGGAATTGATCAAGTTGATTCGACCACAGGTGACTATCCCTATTCATTATGATGACTATGACGTGTTTGCAAGCTCGTTGGATGATTTCCGGGCGCAAGTGCAGGCCGCTGGGTTGGATGGGGAGGTTGTGTATCTGGACCGGGGAGACGAGTATCAGTTTCGTGTCTTGTAGGATAAGAACAATGAATGGATGGAGAGAGATGGCAAGAGGCAAAAAGAACTTAGTTCACATCTCAACCATGGCTGACCACGGCATCGCGCCCCGCCAATCAGCACCGCTTGATCTTGATCGGACTCGTACATCCCGCCCAACCAGCGATATTTCCTTTTTTGCCATGGTGAGATACCGTAGCCGATATTGATTGTTACTTTTTACTTCCGATCAATAAGATCTTCAATGTGTTCATCGACCTGTCAACATAATCACCCCAGGTACAAATGTCTCAAAAATTAGGACCTTTGTCACGCTACATCTGCAGACGGAAGTCAAATCCATAAAGAAAAAAAAAAAAAAATAAAGGGTACCCTTATGATGTCAGAGTGAACCGGTAGGTACCACCTAGTTACCCATTACTACTTATCCATCATCTGCCACATGATCTTAGTTACTGAGTGAATAGAACAACCAACCATTGAATACAAAAGAAAGACGTACTTTACTTTCTTGCTCATAAGAACCCTCCCCCCCTTCTCCAATCTTAACTCAGCCCATATAAAGTACCTTATCACCTCTGCAGATCATTCTCAACGTCTTAGACGTCATAGTGACTCCAATCAATCGTCTACTTACCCCAATACGGGCTTCGATATCTCATCTCCCCATCCAATCCACTGGCACTGTCACTACTGGCTTCGTATAAAAAAGAAAAATAAAGGGTGGAATACACCGCCGATCTTCATTTCCTGCACATCAATCTTAATCCAACATAATCTATCCTTCAAACCAAGAAGACCAGATCGATAGAAGAAACGAAGAGAGAGAAAAAAAGAATATGTCTTACAACAACAACACCTACCACCCCATCGCCTCAGCAGACAAAGTCCCAACTATCCACACAATCCATCCTATGAAACGCTCGACGTCCTACTCTCCCACCGCCCAGGAGAGCGGCGACGATGAGTACAAGCACCACCACATCAAGAAAGACAGCGCGAGCAGCACAGTAGCCTGTGGTAACGACCATAAAGTGAAAGCGGCGCTGACGGAGCTCCTCAACGACGACGGTGTGAGATCTAATGCGCGCGGAAGCAGATCGGTACAGAACTTGCTTATGGATACCGAGAAGGCGTTGAGGAAGCAGCGCAGGGAGTCGCTGTCGGGACGGGCTTCGATTTCGGTGGCGAAGTGAGGTGATATCGGTGTCGATATGGGGATTTATCTTAATCATTTGGTGATGACATGATGAGTGAAATTGAGGGGGTTTTGCTTTGATTGTCGAACTGGTGTGGCTGGCTGCTTTGCGCTGGTGTATGTGACATGGTCGAGTCGAATTCTCCTCGTGCTGGTCTGGTCGGTACAAGAGGTGCGCGCTGTGTCGATGAGATGAGAGTCTAAGCTGCTTCTGATGATGTTGATGCTATGTGAGCCGGCTACATATGGAGCTGCTTGGTTCAATATGGTTTAATGCAGGGGTAGTAGTAGGGCTGGAGGTTAGAGGCACAATTGATGCGCCGTTGCAAGAGCTGAAACGACATGTCTATTGGTGGCAGCACAGTACACTTTTACAGCCTTAAGGAGCAGTCGCAAAAGGTTTCTATGCCAGATATGTCAATTAATTAATTTATCCTTTTGTTTAGGCACAATTTGAACTCACTGGTATGGTGTTCTACAACTGTAGAGAGTAGTATAAGATGCGGCGCGGCCTATATACTACCTACTTACTAGCTTATAGTTAGTAGTAGGTGGCCTCTTCGATGCATAACACATCAACAACAGTAGTATAACCCTAAGCCATCAAGTCAGACAATAAACACCGTAATAGACGAAATACAATAGCATTCCCTCCCTCATAGAGATAGTCCAATGACTCCAAAATCAACATGTACCAATCAAACCCACTCAACGAAGCCAACCACCGCCGCCGACCGCCTCCGAGTGACGACCGACCGACCGACCGCAATCGATCCTCCTCCGCACCAACAGCTCCAGCTCCAGTCCAACTCCAACCCACCTCCCCCCCCCTTGACCTCTCTCTCTCTCTCCACAGCCCATCTTCCTTAACTACTTTCCCCGTCTGCACCGCCAGACCACATGCGTGGCACCCCCCTTACACCCAACTAGTTACTAATATCATATACCCCCCTCCCTCCCGGCCACCATGTCCAAATCCACCAAGTACCTCCTCGTCTCCTTCCCCACGTCCATCACCCCCTCCCACCACCGCGACGACGCCCTCGACGCCATCTCCGCCACCGTCTCATCCGAAAATGGCTCTGTTGCGCCTTTTCCCATCCCCGAATTCAAGATCGGTACGCTCGATGCTCTGGTGCAGCAGGCCGACGAGCTGGCTAAGCTCGAGGCCGGCTGCCAGGGGGTGGTGGCCAAGGTTGGCGATGCGCTGAAGAATATTCTGGAGGGGGATGAGGCGCAGATTGATAAGATGAAGACGGTTAATGATAGTATGTTTTTATCACAGCATATGTTAGTGGGAAGTGACGTGTTTTGTGTTGACGGGGTCATCTAGAACCGGTGGATCAGTACCTTCGCACGTTCTCGTGGAATAAGGTCAAGTATAGGGCCGATAAGCCGTTGGGGGAACTGATTGATTTGCTGCAGAAGGTGGGTTATGCCAATTATTCTGTCTAAAGGATATGCTGACGGGTGAAACAGGAAGCAGCGAGTATCGATAACGACATCCGCTCGAAATATACCCAGTATAATCAGGTGAAAAATACGTTGGCGACGTTGCAGCGGAAGCAGACGTGAGTTTGTTACTTTACTTTACTTTACTTTACGCTCCATGTCAGAAGGAGGACGTTTGTCTGATCTGCTCTGCTATAGGGGCAACCTGTCCACCAAATCCCTCTCCTCGGTCGTCGACCCCCGCACCCTCGTCCGCGACTCCGAATACATCGAGACGCACCTTATCGCTGTGCCCGCCCAGCAAGTCAAGGAGTTCCTGAAGATTTACGAGACCGTGGCGCCGATGGTGGTGCCGCGGTCGGCGACGCTGATTGCCTCGGACGACGATTTCACACTGTACGCCGTCACGACGTTCAAGAAGCACAGCCTGGAGTTTGTGCACAAGTGCCGTGAGAACAAGTGGATTCCGCGCGACTTCAAGTACATTGAGGGAGGCAAGGAGGAGGAGCGGAAGGAGTTCGAGCGGGTGGGCGGTGACGAGCGCAAGCTCTGGGGAGAGACGCTCCGACTGGGACGGACGGCGTGGAGTGAGGCCGTGATGGTCTGGATCCATGTGTATGTGCTGCGGGTGTTTGTGGAGACGGTACTGCGGTATGGACTGCCGCTGGACTTTGTGTGCACGTTGATCCGGGTGAGTTATATCTTTACTCTTGTTGATTTGAATGTGTTGTTGCTAACTAGAGCAGACTCCCGGAACGAAGCAGGCGGACAAAGCGAAGCGCAATCTGGACGACAAGTACTCGTACCTGGCGGGCAATGCGTTCGGGCGCGACAAGAAGGGCCGAGTGAAGCGCGACGACCCGGGCGAGATGCACGGCGAGGGCGGGCCGGAGTATACGGCATATGTGTATTATGAGTTTGAGTTCAACTAGCCAGCGGCCGTTGCTAGTTTGCACCATTCTTGTTTGTTTGGATCTATTTCTCTTCCTGTTTATATGTCTAGCGTACGTACATAGAAGTACTCACAGCCCGCCTAAGAATCTATTCAAATGTAGTAAGCAGTTTAAACAGTCAAACCCGAATCATATATACACAACCAACAAAATCTCTATAATCTATCTTAATCCCCTCCAGGGGAATATACTCTCTACTCCTTCTTAGCAGGCAAATACCCCTGCTCATCCAAATACCGAATAATCTGCGCAACAGCCTCCTGCACGGGCACCTCATGATTCTTAATGTGGACCTCCGGCTTCACCGGCGCCTCATACGGGGCACTAATGCCCGTAAACTCCTTAATCACACCCTCCCTGGCCTTCTTATACAATCCCTTAGGATCACGCTGCTCCGCCACCTCCACCGGCACATCAACATACACCTCGACGAACGGCAGACCCGTCTCCTCTCCGGGCGTGGGCACCTCATGCAACTGTCTCGCGGTGTCGCGGTCCTTCCGGTACGGCGAGATGAAAGAAGTAATGGCGATAGCGGAGGAATCAGCAAACAGCTTGGCCACTTCGGCGATCCGCCGGATGTTCTCGTTCCGGTCGGCTTCGCTGAATCCGAGGTCCTTGTTGAGTCCGAAGCGGATGTTGTCGCCGTCCAGACGGTAGGCGTGCACGCCACGGTCGCGGACCAGTTGATGCTCGAGTTCAACGGCTAGTGTGGATTTGCCCGAGGCGGAGAGACCGGTTAGCCAGATTGTGAGGCCCTTTTGGGAGCGGAGGGTGTTGCGCTCCGTGCGGGTGAGGCCGCTGGCGTGGTAGGTGATGTTGCTGCCGGTCGGTTAGTTTTGGTTTTGGGGGTGGGGGATGGGGGATGGGGGATGGGGTACGTACGTGGCCATTTTGGAGGGTATGTGTGTATGTGTGTGTGGTATGGGTAATTGGGAGGAAGGAGGAGAGGGTTTGGTGAGAGAGAGGAGGGAAGAGGAGGAGGAGGAGGAGGAGGAGGAGGAGGAGGGATTGAAGTACGTTAGAAAAAAGGATGGGAATAGAAAAGGGTGAAACAGCGGGGCGGCGCCGATCGCGGGGTCGATTTCATTTGACGACTTGTAACTTACGTACGTACTCCCCTGTGTCGTTTCCTTGGATGGGGTTTCTGCCCGGGAGAGGAGTCATTGGCTCGGAGCGATGGGCGACGTTACGTGTACCTTGCTCTAATGCCATGTGTCTAGAACGTTAATTCATCTAGGGTGATGGATTGATTGATATTGATTATCTATCAAGGCTCTACTGCTTGTCGGCCAAGTCAATCACTCGCTTTGCTGCCGCTTCGAAACTGTCAAATGCCTCCAGTGGCAACCCACTCTCCGCGATCTATCCGGAACATTAAGAAATTAGCTTTTCATGATTAAAGTGTGTCGGAAAAAAAAAAGGTTTAAGGAATCAACACTGACCATCTGCTGCCCACGCTCCTCATTTGTCCCGCGCAGTCGCACCACCACGGGCACCGTCATCTCCATCTCCTGAAATGCTAGGATGATCCCTTCCGCGATCATGTCGCACCGTGTCAATCCCCCGAAGATGTTCACGAAGATCGCTTTCACGCGTCGGTCCGACGTGATGATCCGAAATGAGGACTTGACTGTCTCGGTCGTGGCTTTGCCGCCCGTGTCCAGGAAGTTCGCGCAGTGTCCGCCATGGATCGTCAGCGCGTCCACCGTGTTCATTGCCAGGCCCGCGCCGTTCACTACGAGGTCAGTGGGAGGGTAACCTCTAGATGTGGGGTTTGAGGGGATGTACTTACCTAGGGTTCCGATGCTTCCTTTCCCTTCCAGTCTGTGCTCGGTCAGCGTAGGTTACACCGGGATGACTGGGGTGGCTTACTTGACGTAGACAATGCCATCCTTCTCGGCTTCGACTTCCTCGGGCACCTCTTCTGCTGGATTTCTCAGTTGCTGTACGTCTTTCTGGCGTCCCGAGCTTCGAAAGGCAGCGTCATCGAACCCAAAGCGGGCATCGCGGACTTCAAAAGCACTTGTGGCGTTGGCGCGTACTTCCAGGAGGTACGCCTCCTTTTCCTTGAAAACCCGCCATAATCCCTGCAGCAGCTGCGCCAGGTTGTCGTGTGCCGTTGCGGGAAGCTCCAGGTGGGAGGCAACCGTTTCGACCAGGGGGTTTGTGCTGCTAAAGTCCGTGCCCTCGTATGCAAATGGGAACCGGCCCGTCTGTGCTGGTTCGAAGCCAGCAGAGGTGGAGGCAAGAATACACGGCGACAATGCTGTCCTATCAACGGTGAGGGACAAGAAGAAGTCCGATTCGGAGGGTGCAGCCTCGTTGACAGGGATTAATTCTTTTCTGAGCATATCGAGAGCCTGGAACGGCTTAACGAATAGACTTCTGGTTTGCTGGGGCTGAGAGACGCCGTAACGGTTTGGTCTGATGCGCCTCATTGTATGTAAGCCTCGCCGCTGATTCCCGCCATTGATAGACTACTCCATGTAAGTAAGCTGTCGTTTTTCGCATGTAACAGACCTACAGTAGTGCCCGCGCGCCCGCGAGTTTTCAGAAGTGACTTCATTCCCTCTCCGAACTTCTCGGGGTGGTTGACCATCATCACGCCGGCTCGTTCGAGCGCTTCATACTTGGCCTTCGCGCCAGGCTCCCCAATTGCTGTCCAGGCACCTGCGTGACCCATGATCCGTCCAGGAGGAGCATGCAAGCCTCCAACGAGGGCCATTATCGGTCTGTACTTGTCAGCATAGCTTCCCATGGGAACGAACTGGCTCTTCCACATACTTGGGGTTAGCAGTTCTCTGATTGTAGTCCTTGATCCACTCCGCTGCATCAATCTCTGCCGTACCACCAATCTCGCCAACCAGGATGATCCCCTCGGTGTCAGGGTCTTCTTCAAAGATCTTCAGTGCATCGACGAAATTAGTTCCTGCTAGAACATCCCCTCCCATACTGATACAGAGACTTTGCCCCAGACCTGCCCGCGTTGTGGACGCAACAGTCTCATAGCTCAGAGTCCCTGACTTGGCGACAATGCCAATATTGCCAGGTGCGAAGCAGGGCAGAGGCTGGAATCCGATCCGGCATTTGCCAATTGCAGAGATGATTCCCGGACAGTTGGCACCGACCAATCTCGTCTTCGACTGTGTCTTCAGCATGGAATGGATCTAAGCACCATTAGTTCATAGCTCTCACAGACAACGCTCTCAAACCGAATCACTTACTCGAAGAATATCATGGATAGGAACGTGTTCTGCCACTGCTACAACAAGAGGGATTTCCGCTTCTATAGCCTCTTCTATCGCCTTTGCAGTCTGGTTACCAGGCACATAGATTGCAGATGCGTCCGGTTTCGCTCTCTCTTGGGCCTGTCTGCATAAGTATGACGCCTTAAAAATGTGGACAATCAGCCATACCGCTTTTACAGATGGGAACACCGGAAGACCGAGATGCTCTCCCTCGACGCCCGGCTTAACACCCCCGACAATTTTCGTGCCCCATTCTAAGGACTCCTTGACGTTGGCAGTGGCCTGGAATGTTGATTAAGACTTATTGCATTTACACTAGAAGCCCGCTTACCTGTCTACCTAAACTTATTGTCAATGTATGATCGTAGATATTGAGAGACAGACTCACCTGTAAATCCTTGAAACAAGACCCGCGTGTGAGCTCCTATCTTCAAATTCTGTAGCGTGTCCGCATAACTGCAGGTCCTGGACGAGGTCGAAAACCCCTGTGATTGTCTCACTGAAGCACGGACAAGAGGCCTTCTCGCCGGCGCAGACAATGAAGCCAGGCGGGACATAGTGGGTTCCGTGCCGTGGTTACTTGATGGAGATCAATAGCCGGCTATTTCAGTGTGGGGTATTATAAGAACACCAATTGCGAGAATGATAGGTTTAAATGATGGAAGTGACAACAAATCAGTGACTACCACTCACGGCCACTTCGCAAAGTAGGGCAATATCAACAGCCAGTTGCTAGACTGGTCTACAGGCCTGGAGAGAGTTGAAGGGGCGGAAGAACTAACCTCGGGAATTGATGTCTTATAAGACGGATCCTCCGCCGGTCTCGGACAACCTGCCGACTGTTTCCGAGGTACTAAACAAGAGGATGTGGGCTCTCGGGACACTCATGCATCGCTGTGATTGGTGGTCTCGGAAACGTGTTGCCGTGTAGTATTTGAGACTCGGAAAGGCAAATGCCACATGCTCCGCCGGCGGTGTTAAGAGCCACAGCTTTGGTGTAGAGGCTGATGAAATTGCAGACCGGCACTGGAGATATTAGTGCGTATATAGCGTGCAGATTGCCCTATTCGTATTTTCCAGTTCGTGTATGTTTTCATCTAGCTGGTGTGAATTTGTAGGTAGTGGCGTGCAGCAATGCGCGGTGCAATATACCCCTACAAGATGATATTGCACCAGTTCCCAATACCCCGTGAGGTACATAGACCTTTCAGATACTCTTTGAAAGCCCCTACTCGATGGTCTCATGTCTCGGTCTGCGTTCGAAGTCATGGTGCACTAGAAATCCTGCTCCCTTCGCCCACAGAAAAGGCAATCTTATCGAATTGCATCGACTAGAGAGATATTGGTAGATGATGTCAAGTGGTCTATTTTTATGAATTCTAGGCTCTGGGAACAAGGATTGGAGATCACCCCACACTCCCAATTGCTTAGTCAGTACTTATCTACAAACAGAATGCAAACAATGCAGCCCATGTGAGAACATACTTTGGACTACAAAGTAAGTTGTCCCAGATATTGAGAGATGCACATCCTGAGATCAGATCACACGACTCCAGTAATCCTTGCTAGTAGCGTTACAGCCTTGAACTGGAGTATGTAGATCAATGACCCAACTCTCCCATCACAATGTACACACAGCAAGAAACCGCCCAGTCAAAGAACCAATCTGTGCCATGATAAGTCACTTCCCAACGCAGATCAGTCACCACACAATGGTGGAAACGTGAACCGTTCCCCAAACTGCAAATTCTCGCCAGAAAGACGAAAGCGATGGACCAACTCGAACTCTGGCCAGCCCAATGCAAGACCAATCACGGGGCCCGCCTTCCCCGAAAGGCGGGGTCGCACTGCCGGGACTGACGCCATTCATGATTTCACCTTTTCGCTTTGCTTGAAAGCGGTCGGACCACTCTGCATTGTGTTGCTACGAACCACTCACAAGATCTTCAATAATAGAATTTCATCAATTAGTAGTCGATATGGCGGCCGCACATGCCAGTTCCAATTCCAAGGGTTCGTTTCCTTCATCCTCCTTTTATTAACCTTCCCTTCTCCCTCCCCAATTGTACTGCCGCCGCAATAACTTGAGCCCCTCCTCCATCATCTTCTTCCTTTCCTTCGCTATTCTTTCCTCCTTCCCCAGATCCCTCCCCCCCAATTGTTACTACTTCCTCACCCCACAGTACCCCATGGTACTCCCATAACATAATCAGCTGCAACAAACACCAAAACTAACACCACCCCCAATGTCCGTTCCAGCCACACCACCAGCAACAACACCGCCAACAGCATCAGCATCAGCAACCTCCGAACTACAATCCTCTCTCCGCGAACTCTCCCTCGCCAATAAAAGCCCCATTAATGATATTCCCCGACCGACTCCCCCCACCTCTGTCCCCAAACAACACCATCACACGGTGAAGAAGAAGAAAGAGCCTGCTCCCGTCGCCGACTCCTGGGAAGATGAAGTAGAATCAGCCTCCGCCTCTGACCCCGAAGGAGGAGCAGCCGACATCTCATCCACCTCCCCCGCTACCTCCTCCCGCTTCGCCAGCCCCGCATTGTCACCTTCTATCCGTTACACTGAAGGCCCCTTGGACCCCCCACCCACGCCCATCTCACCGCAGACGTCTGCATCGCAGCCGCCGTGGCCTACTTATGGTGGACGATCAGAGGCGAGATCGCCGGCGAGGAGGCCGGAGAAGCAGACGGCTGTAGCGGGGAGGATGATTGCGGGGGCGCTGGGAATTCGGGCTCCCAAGCGCACGGAGGAGCAGCGGGCGTATGACCGCGCGGTGAAGGAGCAAGAGATTAAGCGGCGGAATAAGGAAAAGGAGGAGGCGGCGAAGGCGAAGGAGGAGGAAGAGAAGGCTAAGGCGGCAGTGTGGGACATGTGATTGACACTGTTATAGCAACGGAGTAACTACTCCGTATTGCTGGATGTGGGGTTGGTGGAGATACATATTCTTTGCTTCTACTTTCTGCTTGGAAGGTGACGAGGTGTGCCGGGTGCTGCGTTTCTTATCTTCTTTTCGTCTCCTCAATTGTCTGCTTGCGGGGGTGGGTCGGTTGTCTGGTATCTTTTGTCACTTTCCTGTCCTACTACATACACTCAGACTCACTGGGTCTAAACTATACAGGACTGTAATATAGTCTTTTCGGTGAATCTATACTAGTCCAGACAGATGGGCTTCAGAGAAAAGGACAACCCTATCTAGTTTTGCAAAAGTTGCAACCCAGCGTAACTTGAATATAGTGCTCGAGAATCTATCCAAACGGTAGACATCTGCACACAACAGATGCTAAACACTCATTCTTTTCCTTTCTCAGCTCCCCAAATTCTTGCAAAACAGCGAAGATAGCAAAAAAGAAATGTAGAGTAACCATTCATCATATTTTCGTCGACGTCAATAACCCTCTTATTTATCACTCTGAAAAATTTCCTGATCCCTACCCAGATACACATCTCATTATAGGACGCTCTCCAAATCCGGGCGCGGCTCCGACCCATCAACCAAGTAGAACACCATGTTGCGCCTTTGTATCTGTTCGGCAGAACGGAAGAAACAGATCGGAGGATGGTCGGGAGAAGATAAAGTTGGGTAAATAAAGTAAGAAACACAACGGGGCTGGTAATGTATTTCGGAGAAAAAAAAAAAAAAAAGGCAAAAAAAAGACATAATAATCATGATTCATCGAAAGACAGATTATGCTATCTAGCCACCGATTTGTTCCTGGTGCACTTCGAGAGTGTCCCCATCGGCCATCTCGAGCTACATAAATTTCAGGATAAGTTAGCCGTGTGCTTTGCGGTTCTCTAGGGTGTGTCTGCCAGAGAAGATGGAAGGGAGTTCGTGCGGGGAAGGGTGCCGCAGTGCGTGCACATAAACACATCACAGAAAGAGAAGGGTTGTCATGCTAGAACATACAGTATCGGGTGTATCTTCAGGGCGCACACGGGTGCCATCGAAAAGGAAGCGGACCGTAGATGGCTGCTTTCCTTGCCTTTCGCAGAACGCGTCCATCAACTTCTTCAACTGGGTTGTGCGCTTGATCTTGAAGAACACTTCATTGTTGTTGTCGGTCACCTTGATGTTGAGGTGCTCGACAGCCGCGGGGGCCTCTCCGGAGTCGGCCATTGTTGTAGAAGGGAATAAAGACGATGGAGGGCTTGAAACTGGAGGAGGGCGAGTTGTCAGCTTTGGGAGGACTTCCCGTCGCAAGTGAAGTTCGTCAGACTGCGGTGGCTTACCCTGTTTGCCGCTTTGAAGGGATCGAGGATATGCGCTAGAGCACTGGCGGAGAGACGGACGAGGAGAAGAAGCTGGTGGACGTGATAAATGACTGAGAGAAGAAGAAAAAGGATGGGGTGTTGAACTGAGCTGGAGGCGATGAACGCAACCCCCACCAGTTATAAATATCGGAGAATCTATTTTTGCGGCGCAGGTCCAAGTTCCCGTTGCTTCGCTGCAGTGAATGAGATCAAAGGTGTTACTACTACTGTTGATACTTGATTTTCTCTTGATACATCTTTCAGTGTTGAGTCACATTCTTTTCAATTTTCTTATTAAGTTTTATTCTTTTCCTTCCAGCTCTAGCCACCGGGTTTATTCAGTTGTGACTTTACTTCTGTCTTGTTGCCAGTTCTTTGGCTGAGTATAGTATATTGCGTCATGGTATGAGTGTAACCATTGACTCCCGTTTGAGTAGAGAGTAACAGATAGCAGGGCGGACTTAAGGAAGACATAGCATTTGACCCGCCTTGCCATCCACGAGCTGTAGGTCACTGATACTAGTTGGAACATTTGTTTGGTGCATGACTAACAATTGCCAGTGTGCCATACAAGGTGACTACCACCATACAACATCCACGTGCAGAAATGGCACTAATTCTTGCAGCATGCCTCACGAAGAACTCGTACCAGGAAGAGAAATGTCAATCCCAGATCAATGCCCTTTATGAATGTTGCAATGCCTTTTACCAGGCGCGAGGAGAGGACGCAAAGACTCCAAGCTGTCCTAAGCCCAACTTGCTGCGTCTGAAGATGAAGCAACGGGGCATGGAGCCTTAGCTTGTCTTGGAGAGAAATTCGTGTCTCATCAGAGTTCTACGGATCGTGTACATACTACCAATTATACTGTCGATAATAGAGTAGAGACCAAATCATCAAGGCTCTTGACAATGTGTCGAGTCGTTGCCGGAAAATAGTGACAGTGATAGTCTTAGTAGTCCCTCCATCTCAGATAAAACTGAGGCTGGAATGTGACAATTCCCTTGCAGTCTGAGCTCCCATTCGAGGAAAGAGCTAGGCTAGTTGTGAAAATTGCCAAATTTCTCTAAGACAATCTTGAGCACGCAGAGAGGCCGTTTTGACCTGAACGAAGATTGAAGCGCTCGTTCCGAGACTCTAATGATTGCCTATAGACATTTGATGAAGAAAGAAAAAAAGAAGAAGAGGGAAAAGCCGAAGTGCGCGAGTTTTTATGGTGTGTGTTGGCGCTAGTCCCCATATGGGCTAGTGGCCCGTCGGCCCAAAACACGGCCAAAAAGAGTAAGACGAAGAAGATTGGAAGTTGCAGTTCTTCCCCGAATCCTCCTGGGAAGCTAAAGGTCCCTTCGCAAACACCCTCCATCTCTATCATCGCCCTTCCCCCGACACACCCCTTCTCTCCCGGTCAACCTCCCCGGCCTTTCCTCGCGCTCATGGCACCCTTAACCAGGGCCACGGGCTCGGGCGCCCCTGCCGGGTTCACGTCCATAAATGTGAGTTGCTTTGTTTTGGCTTTCTTGTAAGGCGGTGCGCTGACCGACCGATGTTTTATTATCCAGCCCTCTCAACAACCAACGAACGAGTCGGATGTTATTGAAATCGAGGATGATGACGATGAGCCCATGGATGAAGAGGGAGACGACATGGAGCCCAATGAGGATGAAGACATGGAAGATGATTACGTTGACGAAGACGAGGAATCAGAGGAAGAGGCCGCTGACGCGCTGAATGGAAGCGAATCACCACTGGATCTGGGGTTCGCTCCGAATGGACATAGTATGCTCCTTACGACTTCTGGTAGTGCTAGGAAGGCTGACGTTGCTAGATGGTATCGATGCCGCAACACCGGACTTGTTTACGTCGGCAGGCGCGCAGGAGGCCTTGCATCCCCTTCGCCGCACCGCAGATCGAGTCACGCGCCAGATTGAGGCCTTCGCCGAAAAACTGGATCGTTTCAAACAAAAAGGAAACCGCTCGGAGGACTTGTCGAACTACCAGGCTGCCTATAACCTGGTGAAGAGCTACCAGACCCTCGCGCAAGATGCAATCAGCGACATCACGAAACAAAACACCTTGAAACGGGCCAAGCTTGGATTGGGTGCTGCTCGAAGCAACGGATCCGCATCGTTCGATCCCAAGACTGCAGAGGAGCTCCGGCGTCTACAATTGGAAGCCGACACTTGGCGACTTCTTCTCAACCTTATTAGCAGGGACGATCCGCCCCGCAGAGCCGACTCCAAGAAGTCGCAAGAATCTGTCTTCCAGAATCTACACCGGTACTCCCCCGATCGCGACGTCTGGGACCAATTCTTGGCTGCGGACCATTATGCGACGGAATGCGTTATCATCCTAAAGTGGCTCGAACGCTCGGCCAAATACAGCACGCAAGATGTGGACTATCTAATCTCTGAGTTAGAGTCACAGGCCGAAAGAGGGCAGGGATCATGGTCCCATGGATGGCTTTACACGAAGGAAACAATCAAGGGACAGAAGCGACTGCGAGCCTGGCCCCAACCCCTCGAACCCAATGACCCGGGCATCACCGCTACGCTTCTGAGCTCAGATAAGTCGGAGCCACTAGTCACCCAATTAGATCCGGACGCCGTCACCCGCCAAAGGCAGAGCCTACAGAAGCAGGATCAGTTCTACGAGCGCGCTACATGGATGACGTGCTGGAAGATGCTCAGACATGGGGAGAGTTGGTTCAAGATCCGTGACTGGTGTGCAGAGCGGTTGGAAACTTGGCGGGCCGTCAGCATCTGTGGTACTAGCGTGGATGTTGAAACACACACTGGAAGGACCCCTGTTGATGATGGGCACACACGCCTGATGAACTGGCGTTCCCAGGAATCCTGGAGGGCCGCCTGCAGTGCTTTGGCACGGAGTCCACACGCCGAGGATTTTGAGCGGGCGGTTTATGCGTTGCTCTGCGGCGAAACAGAGGCAGCCTTCAAGGTCTGTCATACCTGGGATGATTATCTCTTCGTGCACTTCAACAGCGTCCTCCTGTCTCGCTACCAGGGATTTTGCAAGCAGTTCCAGCGGAAGCTAAGCCATTCGCCTACAACCCCTGTTGCCTTCGTGCCTGAGCCGGCAGGATATGCCGAATTCAACAAATTCGTGCAGTACACTAGAGGAAACGAGCGCGTTGGAAGCGAGGCACGGAACCCGTACCGCACTATCCAGGCGACAATCTTGGGCAAAGGATACGACGCATTCTTCTATTCCTTAGCCCAGGCAGTGTCCCAGGTTGCGAACAACAAATCTGATGCGTCATCCTTCGTTCCTGATGTGTCACCTACCTCCGTCGATGACAGTCTTGTCATTGCTGCAGAGGACGGCGATGCGCTCCGGATTGCCACCCATCTTTACATCGTCGCTCATTCCATTGGATACGTTCGCGCCGACACTCAATTCTACAACACTGCCTGCGTGAACGTCATCGGGTATATCGCTAACCTGGAATCCCTCGGTGTTGTGGATATCATTCCGCTTTACGCTTCCCTTCTCCCGGAGGATTTGACGAGGTCTGTTCTGGCTCAGGTATTGATCGAGATTGTTGATCCACGGGAGAGAAAGAACCTGGTTCGGTTGATGGAGAAGCACGGTATCGACGTCGAGGCTGTCCTGCAGACCCAGTGGGAGTGGCTGAGCGTGAATGTCTCTGCCATCGACCACTCCAGGACGGTCAAGCGGCACCCGAAGGTTGTCAACCGCAAGGATGGCAACCTTGAATTGGTCCCGGTCAAGACGGATTTCATTGGCACCGAGATATCGGAAAGTGATGAGAATGTCATACGCAGTCTCGAATGGCTTCGCTACGTGGATGGACAGTGGGGGCGAATCTGCCAGCTCGGATCTTTGTTGTACCGCAAGTTCTATAGTATGGACATACCCTTGTTCCGTGTAGGAGATGCAGAGCTAACAATACCACAGTTTCGGGTCGACTCTCTGCAGCTCGGGAGCTGTGTCGGCGGATGAAGCTATCCGACATCTCGCGGGAAATGTTCGGCTTTGACATTTCGGAGTTTAGCCTCGATGTGGCGGCGATGCAAGAGGTCAACACGCCAGAACCTTCCAGTCCGACGAAGTCGAGGTTGCTCAGCTCCCCTCACAAGCGTTCTCGGTCGCGAACCAACGGAGTTGCGTCGGGAAGCCAGGCGAGCATCTTACTCCAGCAATCGCAGACCATGCGTGACCTGGAGGTCCTTATCCTGGCATTAGACGCTCTGGAAAGATATGCCATTATTTATGAAAAACTAGAAAAGTATGTCATGACAATCTATGAATGGGTTTGCGTTGTACTTACCACTGGCGCAGCAACAAACGGCGGCGTGATTCGGGTATGCTTAAGGACCTCAGAGAAGGGCTACAGGAAGCCCTGGATGACACTAGCGTCCAAATCGATGTCATGTTGGACGAGTGGCTGGTCAACTACGAGAACGGTAAGCAGCCTTGTCTGCTTGAGGTTGAGTGTATCAATACTAATATGGTCAATATAGAAGCCGAGAAGGAGGAATTGGAGGAGATCCGTAACACCTACATTCCGGAAGTGTTCCTCGACTACCACAATACGATGTATTTCTCGGCTCATGTGCTCAGCAGCGAGCTCTTGGTGCAGTGCATGAACTTGGCAACCCAGGTGGCCGAAGTGGAGCATCTGACAAGCAGCTTCGTCGCGGCCCGCCGCGTTGGAGAGCTGATGAACGCGTTGGCAGTTTCCAGCAAATCCATGGTGAACACGCATGCGAAGCCCGGCGTCAGGCTACTGGGCGGCGAGTCGTTGGGGATCTGGGCCCCGCAGGTGTCTGACGAGGAGAACGACACAACCCAGGAGCAATGAAGCGTGTATTTGAACTAACGATGGTGGACCGGCGTGTATATTACCCTCATGTTTCTCGTTTTCTATGACTTCACCCAATCTCTTCTGGCCGGAAGGATTATGGGCATCTTGCATGTACAAGGGTCGGAGGGATGATCATATCCGGCGCATTTCCAGGATTTACATCGATCTGAAAATAAAGAAATCTAACTGTATGGATTGATCAGATTGTGTTTCATGTCAAACTTAGCGAACTGCGTTTTTCAAGTGGAGAACTAGCAGATTCGAATAAAGCGAGTACTACGCCAAGTAGAGGCTGACCTGAAAAAAAGGTGCAATCCAATAGAAAGGACACAGCACGTGCTGTACCAAATAGGTGAATTTGCTGCTTTCTATGACATTGCGCTAAATACTATGATAAGCATTGAGCTATTGAGCTAACGTGTATATAATTTATGGCTTCGTCGAAGTCAACTAAATTGTCATATCCTCAAATAGACCCTCTCTAGGTGAATCCAATCTGTAGTCAATCAAAAATCGTCATTCCTATCGCGAGACTTTCCCAATTAAAAGACACCATGAAACTATAATTGTGAAGTCGTGGATTCAGATCCAGTGACATTAGACTCAAAAATGGATGCTTCCTTCATATTTCATCCTCGTTCGTTGTCTCGATCAATTGCCAGTGTGTTATTAATAGTGAACCTCACCATGGAGGAGCGGAAAGAGTATATTGAAAAAGGAAGTAGAGGAACGACGGAACCTCGTTCAAGGCAATAAAAAACATCTATGAGAAAAGGGAATAGATACCAGAGTGGTCGAGTCCACGACAGAAGCCGGCCGGCAGGCAGACTAGTCGCCGTTGATATCAAGTACTTCTAGTTACATACATTTCCCGGCAAACCGAAGCTTGCAATGATGCATGCAGTATGCCCATGAGAATGGCATTCTCTCGCACCTCGAGTACGTGCTGGGATGGCTGGGATGTGGGAGACATAGATAATAAGATCTGGCACAATTTGGACGACTCGCAAAAGAAGAACATTGAAGTTCAGCTGAGAGAGAGCAGGTAAGCTATGCTAAGCTAAGCTAAGCTGATTTTTCAATGTCTCTGGTCCAGTGTCTTGTCTTATTCTAACTTCGGGCGGTTTAAATATAAGATACTGAAGATGCGGGAACTCACCCAACCGTATATTGGTCACAGTGGCAATGAACGGGCGAGCGAATGTCTTCGACTGTTATTGGCGTCAGAGGAGCATGGGACCTATTCGCCTCAGAGAAGTTGTTCGATGAATGGGCTTTGAAGAAAATACAAGTGTTCTATTCGAGGCGAGGGTGTTTTGGGAATGCTGCGTACCCTATATGAGGGATGATAATAAGGAGAAGGAGGAGCCTTCATGGTTTGTCTTGACACATGGCCATCTGGTCGCTGATAATATCATGGTAAAGCATGGCCGCATTACTGGTATCGTGGGGTGGAGATGCAGTGCGTTCCTCTCTGAATATATGGTATATGCTATGGCCACGGTCATTCATCGGAAATATACCCAGGACTGGTGGCTTCTCGTGTTGAAAAGGGTTTTGGAGCCGCCGGATTACCTTCGGTGTAGGTTTGTCGCTGCGGCTCGCTTTAAAGGGTTAATCTTAAATAGTCAGTGACTACTTAGTTGTTCTTCTTGCTTATCTGGGGTACTTTAGTATTTGTAGTATCTCTCCATGTCATCTTTAGAGGACCGCTTTCGTACTGCTAGTCTGCGTAGATATCATTCAGCTTAGCTGTTAGGAGCTGAGTAACTAGAACTTCTTTTATTATCTCGCCAGTTATAAGTCTAATGTCTTCCTCGAATATAGTACTACTAATCAGTCATCGAACCAGCAGTATATAGTATACACCACTATCCTACCTTGTCAACACTTCTACTCAACCCTAACAGCCCAACTTATAATACAATCTCCTCCTTCCTCCTCCGAACAGACACCTTGGCCACCGGATCTGCCTGCCATATGAACCCATACTTCCTCACCGTCGGGCTCCACCCATCAGCCACCTTGAAATCATACCTTAAAAGAACATGACACAGAATGATCTTATTCAAAGCAATCGCAAAGAAACGTCCAGGACAAGCATGCTTCCCCAACCCGAACCCTAGATGCTGAGGCGAAGTCGAAACTGCCTGTGCTGCAGTCTCAAGTCCGGGCGTCTCGCGCATCTTCAGAAACCGGTATGCGTCGAATGTCTCCGGCTCTGGATAGATGGTAGGGTCCCACATGGACTCACTGGCGAGAACTGAGATTGTGCCTTTGGGGAGGACGGTTCCGTCGGAGAGGGTCACGTCTTCTTGTGCGAAGCGTCTCATTCCCGCTGTTGTGGTTGTGTTAGATGGTAATTCTGGGCTATTTGTAAGGGTTGGCGCTGGGGAGAAAGCTTGCCTATACTGTGCGGCTTCAGCCGTTGACTCTCTTTTAATACGCTATCCATAAGCTTTAAGTCGCTGAACGTTGATTTTGTCCATCCGTCGTTTTGCAGAACTCCGATTACTTCGTTTCGTAGCGCCTTAATGACATCCTCCCGTTCAGCAAGGTAGAAGAGTGTCTGTGTAAGCAGGTCCGATGTAGTATGTATAGCGGCAAGTGAGAGTGCTATCTGAGCAAGAGTCGGGTCGTAAGGTCGGCCTTTTGCGCATTCTTCCATCCATTGCATCGCGTCCTCGTAGTGTTCGGGCTCCTTTCCTTGACGGATGGCTTCTTGCTTGGCGGACCGTCTTTCTTCGACGACGGGAGTGATAATTTCTACAGCTTCCTTAATCTCGTTGCGTATCTTACGGCAGAATGGTAGGACATATGCCACATAGGGTCTGGTGCAGCGTGGGAAGATTCGGAGAAATAAAGCGGACATGAACGTGTGAACGGCATAGTCGGCCGTGACTCGATGCCAGTTAGGGTTGCGATATAGCTTCTCCCCGAGAAATACCCTTGATGTCAGTCTGGAGATTAGACTAGCCACATTCGGCTTCAATTGTAAATCATGCCAATCTGGTGTGACATGTTATTAACATCATTGTAGGGCAAGTGAAAATATCGCGAATCACTGAGCTTACTGGGATCATCTGTGAGCATCTCTCCTAGCGCACGACGAGTCTCTTCAGACAAAGGCCGAGCCAACTTATCTACCAGACATGACGGTTAGAATGTGTTTGGGTAGGTCGATTGTGTGTAGACATGATATACTCACCCAAACTCGGTGTCAGTTTCGTGCGTAGAACATCTATCACAAGAGCCGGATCCTGATTGAAAGGGTCAAACCCTCGGATATGAGCATGAAATTCTTCCGCAACAGCATCCAATAAGCTTAATGCGGGATGAGTACGAAAGTCATCTGCATGCTTGGGGGCTAGCACGATCTTTGGCCCGAATTCCGAGTAGAGATAAAAAGCGCTGCCCTGGTAGACAACTCATCAGTACATATGGTTCGGAAGTAGAGTTTAGAGGGGCATACCTGACTGAATCCAGTTCTGATTAAGCCATGTGCATCCTTGAAAAACCGTTTTAGGGAGCCGAGGCTTCCGATTTCGAATCGTTGCCTCTGATTAATTACAGGAAGGGGTGTCTTAAGGGACGGAGTGCTTAGAAGCCAGAAGATAATCGCTGCTAGGACGGGAGCCCAGATCCATGTTGTTGACTCCAGCTTGATTAGGAATGATATAGTATTGATAATGAACATGGTGTGTGCTAGAGTACCAAGGGATTTGATATTGTAGAACCAGTACGGGTGATCATGAAAATCATCTGAAGGAGCGCAGGCCGACTTGAGGTGTTATGCGTGATTAGAATGTCATACTGGAGGCTGTATAATTTCGCTCGACTTCGAAGTAAACAGGCGGAGGTGCGGAGACTGAGACCGGGAATTGCTACGTTTTAAGTACCCAATATCATCTCCGATGCGTGCCATCGGACTTGCCAGACTAACAAAGCGGAAACTGACTAGTTGCAGCTGCTAATGCAAGGACTACTGCACTAGAGTACAGATGCTGGAGAATGTGGTTGGCCGACTGGCTGGCTGGCTAGTCGTACACTAGGAATGAAGGGAGAGCGGTACAGCCACGCTTTGCTGCTTTGGGGCCTGCATGAGGGAAGTCTCAGCATTAAGCATGGCCAGCATTGATAAGCCTGCGGAAGGAATATGAGGAAGAACGAATGAACAAATATGAATGAATCAGATCTGGATGTTTCAAAACTCACCTTTTAATGTGCTCAGCCTCTCTACTCGTGGGTGCTGAAAGGCCCATACAGCATCAGGATATTGCATCGCAGACACCCCACCAAGTGCGGCTGAAGGGGCCCACAGTAGCCCAATCTGCAAAATCGGAATAGTGATGCTAGGATCATTATCCCATCAGCTGATGGAAGAAGTCATCTCATGATGAGTTAAGCTCGTCATAAGTATCAAGCGGCCGCCTAAGCTTGGGATGGATCAATCCAAAGCCAGCACGGCACGCTTTGCCAGAGTTAACATGGGAAGAGGAATCTAGAACAGTCAGTATCGACTGTTAAGTAAACGTGGATAAATCAGGTGACCTGTCCGACTCACCGCTCCACTCTAATCTGGGCCAATCAGAAACATTGAAATGACAAGCCGTGGCTGTGTCTGCCTGGGGCACCCAGTATCCATGCTAGCACTAGTCAGACTATTAGTAGTCGAACGAGCTAACACACACTTATTAGGATGGAAGAGGCCTTTTCCCCATAATGATCTCCCTCCTCAGGGTGTTGTCCAGTGATCCCACGGAAAGGCTCTCATCCTTTGCTTGTTACATGCAAATTCAGTAAAGGTGCATGGAAAGGTGTCACTGCCAGTATGCACTGTAGAGATGAACAACCCTCCGTCAGCGTGTCTCCGCACATAGCCAGCCAACATGAGAAGACAACGAGCATTCACCCATAGATCCAAAAATGGATGCCGTACCTGTCGGTCAGTCTTCATCACCCAAATCGCCTACTACTCCACTTCCGCATCTGATTACAAGCGTCAACATCAAGACTAGGCTCCTGATCCTAGGGTAAGCAGCTAACCCCCCAGTCCGTGCACGCAGGTCCCGCCATATCAAATGTGATGAAACCCCAAATGCATGCCACAACTGCACTTCCACAGGGCGCAAATGCGACGGGTACACTCAATATCGACTACCTTCTCGTAAGGTGACACTACCAGTCTCCAAACCATCAAAGAGCCTCATCCTCTGTCTCCCTGGACTGGATTCCGACGAGCGTCGATGTCTCCAGTTCTTCGAGAACAACACCATCCCCATGCTAGTGGGGTATGCCGACTCGGAAGTATGGCAACGTCTCGTACTACAATTGTGTCACAAAGAACCCGCCGTCTGCCACGCAGTAGTCGCGCTCAGTGCCTTTCATGAAGACTACGAACGGAGCATCAAAACACTGAAATCAAAACCTGATCACCGCCATCATCACTTCGCATTGGAACAATACAACCGCTCCATGGCAATGCTGCGCCGGCGCATCCAATCCAATGACCCCCAAGTCCGTGGCATCACACTCATGTGCTGTATCACCTTCATCATCCTCGAACTCCTCGAAGGCGACTACACCAACGCCTTCGCCCATCTCCAACAAGGCCTCAATATCCTGAAAAGCCAATCAGCGAAGCACGCACTAACCACCGAGCGCATCCTCGCCAAAGCTTTCCTGCAACTCAACACCCCGCGAGCCTACTGGAACGGCCCTGACGTCGTCGTAACCGGCCACCCGCCCAAAGGCAGCGTCTCGGAAGTAGCATACGAAATCACGCCAATCTACAGCATCACCGAAGCAAAAGAACGTCTGCGCGTACTAATGAACAACATCTTCCACCTCCAATCTCTCTGCAACCTCTTCTTCCGCGGCGAACAAGACCCGCACCTCAACACTCTAACCCTCTCTGCAAAACAAACCGCCCTCCACCACGACCTAACAGACTTCACCCTCGACCTAAAATCATTCATCTCCTCCCACAAATCCAACACCGCCTGGACGTTACGAGAAACCCGCAGCGTGGACGTCATCCTCACACACTTAGCAACGCTAACTAGCATGCTCGGCTGTTCCCTCGACACAACCGAACTAAGTTACGACAACTTCCTACCTGAGTTCAAACGCATCAACCACCTCTGTGAACGAATCATAGCCACCTTCGTGACTGAATACGGGAGCTACAAGAACCTCCCCACCATGGTCACTGATATCGGTGTCCTGCCATCGTTGTTCTGGTGCTGTGTGCGGTGTCGGGATGCTGAGACCAGAGAGCGAGCGCTTCAATTGCTGAAAGTGTGGCCCCATCGCGAGGGATTTTATGACTCGTATCTGATTGTGAATATTTGTCGAGGACTGATTGACATTGAGGATGAGGGGAGGGATACTGCGGGGTTTATTCCGAGGGAGTTTCGTGTGCATACGCATACAATTGAGGTTGCGGAGGATCGAAGGAGTATGGTTATCAGGTATGTGTTGGCTGGTGGTGAAGGTGGGGAGCAGGAACGGTTGGTGGGGCTTGGATAAATACTTAAGGATGATTGATGTCTCTAAATCATTCGTCTGGGAATTGTCCACTTCACTGATGGTAGTAATATGTACAAATGGTAATATAGGTTATGGTAACCGATGATATACTATATTAGTGGCGGGGAAAAGAATAGATGAGGACAGGCACGTCTGGAATGATGTCCATTGGTGCCTTCTACTACATACTACCTGGACACTTATTCTTAGTAGCTAGGTAGTATCTTAGCCTAGTAAGTAAACAGTAACAGCAACTAATACTATACTTACCTAGTATCACACTATGCGTGTCACACTGCTACTTATGTAGTATCACCCTCGCTTCATTTGTTGTCCTACCATCCATCTCCATGTGCCTAGTAAGTAGGATACACTTACATTGCCCCAGTCGGACAGAATTAAAAACTAAAAACTATCTAATACTAGTATGGCTAGAACTACTAGTAGTATCTAATGTGTGAGCCTTCACTAATTCGGACACACACACACTTATAAATATATTCCTCCCATTCCAGAACCTCTCTCATGAAATCCACCACCATAATCCAGTCAACATAAATCCGGCACCCAGCCAGTTGGAAATCACATTCTTTTTCTTCGTACACGAACAACAATAGTGGTAGTAGCATAACAATGAGTATGTCTCAAACAATAATAAAACTAATAAGCAGGAATAAAGAGTCGTCGTTCAGATGGTGGAAGGAACTCGTTAAGAAATCATCATTTCCCTATTTTTGTCGGTGGTGCCAGCCCTGGAGCTATTTCGTCTCCGGTTCGTTTGCTCTTTGGTTTTCATCTCAGATGGTTGGTTGTATCTACAGTCCCGTGTTGGCGCAGGAGAAAGGAGTGCCGACGGTTCCTTCTCGGTAGCTGATAATGACGCTTTCAATGGATGCCTAGGAGGGTTCTGTTAGTGTCGGCTTCTTTGGTATCAGGAGAGAGAATGAAGACTTACATAAGTTCCTGGTCCTAAGAAAAAGAAACCAGCGATGATAAGAGTAACATTGAGAATCGCGCCCAGCCAGCCGCGGATACCACGGTTCTTGTAGAAATTGGGTCCATAGTCCTCCCGGCGCATGCGCAGGTAGGCTGTACCCCAGAAGATGAAGCCGAAGAATGAATCGAAGAGGGAGCTCATGATTGACTCCAGGTCGGAAAAGAAGGGAATCACCTCGGCGATGACGAAGGCGAGGATCCAAAGGATGGTGAGGATACCGGTCCAGGCGGCCCATCCAAGTACGGTGTGGTTACCCTTGTGACGGGTGCCATCGAACAAGCGGAAGAAGATGAAACGCGCTGACACGGAGGCATACAGCACGCCGAGGAAAATCAACGTCGGAATCATGAACGAGAAGGACACCTTCTTGTATACCTCGTTACCCAGAGAGCCGAATGCCGGCGACGTGATGTACTGGTTACCGGTGTAGGCGTACACGATAGAGCCGACCAAACTGAACACGATGACCTCGGCAATGGTGACGGCGGTGACAGACTTCCAGAAGTCCTTGGGCTCCTTCATCTCTGCGATAAAACTTGGCAGCGTGATCTGACCGATGAAGGTATAGCTGATATTGAGAAAGGCGCTCATTCCTGAGACAAAGGTCGTTCCGGGCACAGGGATCGCTTTCACAATGGGGTCTCCCATCTCCGGGGTATAGCCCGCGGGATGGTCCTCGATGGCGGAGAAGATGAGGGCTAACATGACGGAGATGAATGTGGTAAATGCCGACAGGGTTGCCACCTTGGATAGGGCGCTAAAGGTGCGTGGAAGTGAGCAGATCAGCGAGATAATCGCCGTGACCAGTGAGAACACGATGGTGCAGGCTCCATGACCACTGATGGTATTGAGGTACTCGGCGCCGACCAAGCAATGCAAGCCCTAATCCAGGTCAGCGCTATGAATAACTTTCGCAAGCAAAATTAAAATACCTGAATGAATATGTTGTTCAACAAGAACATCACCGCAGTCAGGTACCACACAACTTTGGAGTCCCAGAAGATCATTTGGCCGATGTCGCACACGTCACGGACATGTGGGTGTCGCAGACAAAACTTCCTACACGATATCAGCGGTTATCTTCCCAAGCGATGCGACAACGGAAAACATACCAAATGACCAGCGAAGTATAAAGCACAATCATGGCGATGACGACGGTGAGGATCAACCCCGGGACCAATCCGAGAACGGAATAGGACCATGGAAACGACATGATAGCCAGACAGATATACTCGGAGAACAGGAGAGCGGCCGTCTAATGAAACACAAGTCTGTGGTCAGCCATTGCAACTCTGCGCGCATCGCACGCGTATACTGCTTTGAGGCGGTTTGTAGTACATACCTTCTGCCAGCTACAGGTACGGTATTTAATTGAATTCTCCGACTCCATTTCAATCTGACGACCGATTTCCCCCTCCGTGTCTGAGCCGGAGCCCACCTGCTGTTTCTGGTTTTCTAGATCCATCTGATTCAACTTATCTGCTGCACTGGCATTGTCGGAGACAGACGACCGACGGGAAACGACGGGCTTGAAAGTGTTGGACTCCGCCATTTTATCGAGCGGACAAGCCGCAGGTGGTAGGAAGCGATGAAGCTAAAGGAAGAAGAGACACTAAATGCCTTTGGATGCATGTACTGCGCCTTAAGATGCGACAAAATAGGACGACTCCAAATCACTGAAGTAGATCGTTTAAGGATAGCTCTGGAATGATCAGAGGTGACAGATGGTAATCAGGAATTGCCTGAGCGAAGACCGGCAACGAGTGAAAGAGAATTAACGAGGCGAGTGACGGAAGGTGAGAGAAGAGCGAAAAGGAAGAACGGAGGAAGGATCTAACATCTTTTTAGCTGTCAGGTTCAGGCTAGAGAAGAATATCACTGGCAAAGGCACGTGCGGGCAACCTAGTACTTACTGGAGATAACCGTGAGGCAGATCGACACTACAAGACCAGGGGGGTTTGCGATATGCGCGACAAAGAATCACAAATCACCCAAGGTAATAATATAGATGAAAAAGTGAAAAATGACGTGCTAAGCTTGTGAACACGAGCAGATTGAAAGAAATGAGCGAAAAAGTACCGCTGAGGCAAAAGGGAAAAAGAAATTCAAGCAAAGAGATTTAATCTGGATGCGCTTATTTCCTTAACCTGGACTGCCCTGGAAAGCTGGGTTCTCCCAAAGCGCGCGCCGGATGGGTTTTAGTTGCCTAGCACCGGTGGTTTCTGCGCACCCCAAGACTGTCTAGGCAAAATGCAAACCCACAGGGAGAGGCGATTTAATTTACGATTTTATTTTTTTAGACTGGGGAACAAATAACAACCAGAGCAGCGGTCGCTGATTGCGAATCGAGGGCTCGGAGATCCAATGACCGGCGTGCAATGCAGCCGGTCAGCCCGACTGTCCGGAATGGCCGATGACAACATCTACTTTGTATGACGTCCTCCAGCGGGATTGAACACCGGTGACTTTATTACCACTAGTAGAGTCTGGTAGGTTACTGGGACGAACCTAAGCAGAGGCTGTATTAGATTTTGGTCCAGGGACTACCATTAGATACTAGGGGTGTCTTGTGTCCCCTTCCAAGTTACTATAGTGATTTTTCTTGTCCTCCATCTATCCTGACCACCATTACCTTCACTACAAAGTAGCTAATAGATATAACTCACTCCACCTCCGTAAAGCTCGACTCGGCTAAGAACAGCAATGCCGCTTTCAGACCCCACCCCCATCAGACCCCACCGCCCATTGGTCCGTTCTCGGTACAACCTTTGCCTGTTTCCCCAGCCAATCAGCATTCTGACCAATGTCCGCGGCGGAACCGCCCGACCCAGAACTGCCCCGCATCCGTCCTGAGCTTTTTTCCTCTTTTCTCTTTTTGACGGAAAACCCCTCTTGCAGAGAATTTCCGCTCCAAGAAGTAGGAAGGAAGTGAAGGAACAAAATGGAACCATTTGTTGCTACCTTATCCCAATCCTTACATTCCCCCCCATCAGCTTATAAAATTAAGTTGCACTAAGCAAACGATGTTGTGAAGTTGTGTGGCATGACCAGAGCTACGCCTCTCCCTCATGCATGAATGATAAGTACCAAGCAAAATCCCCCCCGGTCATACGACGACAACGCATGGTTTCGATGGCTTTTCCATGACCCTTGTTCGAATATCGTATGGAGATCTTCTTACTGGTTTTCCCTTGTGCATGGATCCATGCATTCGCATTCCTTCGATGGCAAAAAATGGTAAAAGAAACTAAGCTAACTGAAAAGGTTCGGTTGGGGAGGAAAATTCAAACAGATGAATGAAAGAAAAAGCCGCCACTGCCAGTAACTAAATATCTGACAATGCTTATATAATTCTTTTCTGCTTCTTTTAAGCCTTGTCGAGCACGCTATGCGCTAGTAGATGGCGTGATAAGCCACTTCCCCACGTGCCTGGGGATTGACTGGTGGGATTACTTACTTTGTTGGGTAAGGAGTGTACTCTTAAGACTCTTAGTAGCAGCCATGTGCCTTATGCGTATATGCACGCTCAGCACTAGTACTGCAGGGAGATCTCACCAACACATACCCTTTTTTCTGTAGGCTGGGTTTTTTTTTTTTTGCTTGGTATCTTAGGTTGTGTAGCTACTATGTAGCTTCCGCGTGCAAATTTCATTAATATTATATACGCTATAAATCTCGCTGTACTAAATAGTGAGCCTGCTTCTCTATCATCATCGCAACCAAGGTAGAAGAACATGGCTATAGAATAACCCGGTACAACTCCCCATAACACATCACGGCAACTCTGCCGACAAAATCTCTCTTCTCAAGCTATGCACGCCTTAACGCCAGGCGCTAAGGCTGACACTAGTCTTACGCCTCCAGCGGTCTTGTGTCTGTCCACAATTCAGACTAGGATAACGGCTGGCTTGATCTCTAGTGGCGCCGCTTTTACGCCACTTCTCACCGCGGGAGCGATTGATGGAACCTTATCGGCAGCTAGTAGCTATCAGTTATAGCGAGCTGTATGAAAGTGTAGTTCTCTATGGGATGGTGGGTTTTTATTGTGGTGTAATTTGATGGCACTATTAGTAGATATGTATTCTTCTTGACATTATTGCATGGCGCAAAGTCTCGGAGAATGAATCCGAGTTTTAGACTGTCTCTATCGCTGGGTCAGGGGGTGCTGGCGCAAGGGGGATCTGGAGGGAGAATGGAATGGAATGGAAGCCATCACGGCGGGCCGTACCATATTTGCATACTACTTGATTTGAGTAGTGTATTGGTGGTATGTTTGAAGTAAGGGGTATTTATTGATTTTACTGCAGCTATAGTGCTGTACATACCTGGTTTACGATGGAAGATAGACTCCGAACCAAGTGCATGCTTTTGTGGTATACTGCAATAGATAGCATATCAGGGTAGTAACTACAAGCTCCGAATTCACATTCCCTCGTCCTCCCCGGCCAGCAGGGCCGCATAGTCGTCCGCAGAAGCGAATGTGGGCAGGTGCTTGAGCTTGCGCCGCTTCTTCCGGTCAGACTGCTTGTCATCCTTCGGAGGCTCCTCAACCGCTGCGAGTTCCACGTCAAACGGCAGTTCCTCATCACTGTCAAGGAACGCCTCGTCGTCTGAAACGTCCATGTCAAATGCATCCTCGTCGTCGGATGGCTCTTCCTCCTTGGCGGCCTTGCCCTTCTTAGCCTTCGGCTTGGTGGCAGGCTGCTCCTCCTCGATGTCCTCCATCTCGTCGTCCGAGTCGAGGTTGAGTTCGACTTCGCTGTCGCCGCCTTCTTCGTCTTCATCGTCAGACTTGTCGTAGGCGGACTCAAGATCGTCCATGTCGAGATCGTCGTCGTCGCTGCCTGCTTCCAGATCGGGACGGGAATCAACCAACGCCTTCCAGATCTCGGACTCGGCGCCGCTGAGTTCGGCATCCTCCTCGTCTTCGTCGACCGCATCCCTGGCCTTCTTGGTCTTGTCCTTGTCTTGACCCTTTCCAATGCGGTTGAAGTATTCGTGGAAGAAGACATCTTCCGCTGCAACTTCCTCGGACTTCTTCTTCCAGAAGGCCTCCGAGTTGAGAGGCAGCTGCTGGATCGACTTGCCGCCCGCGACCAACCGATCCTTGGCCTCGCTGCCTGCCAGAGGTTGCATGATGGATGAACCACGGGTGAGCGCAGACGCCTTGGGGGTCCGGTAGACGAAGCGGTCGAGGAAGTGGGACAAGGTGTGCAATGTGAGATCGGGCTGTCCGGACATTGGCTTGTGGTCGAGCAGATGAGCCGCGTTCACTGACACGGACGGGTGGAAGTGAGACTGGTAAGGCAGCTATGATACCCTATTAGCGCGTGACAACATTTCATTAGCAGGATAAACTTACCAGTTCCCACAGACATGTCCGGTCGGCATTGCTGTGGCCGGGATCTCTCTTGCGGGGGTCGTATTGGGTCGACGGCTTCTCCGGCTTCTGTGTGACCTCTGGCTGATCCTGAGGCTCGTCATCCTCATCAGGAACATCGCGGAACACCTCCTCGTCATCACTATCGTTCTCCTCCGGCTGATCGAACAAGGAAGCGAGATCGGGGAATGTCTTCTCCAATTCGCGGATCAGGTAGAAGACACCGCAGATGAAAGCGGGCTGATGCAGCCCAAGAACCTGAACGATACGCTTCACAAACGCCTTCACACGGCGGGTGTTCAGATCGTTCTTCAAGGCCTTAAACAGAAGGTTGAGGTAAAGCGACTGCTTGGAGGAGGTAGCAACCCGAGGGTCGAGAAGAGACTCGTATAACGTGCGGTAGAAGCGATCAGCACCAACCTGGTGAGTCGAGGTAATCTGCTGGATCAGCATGAGCGCCTGGATACTGGTGTTGAAGTTGGCGGAGTGTGTGATGCGGAAGAGAGTATCGATGTGCTTGGAGAGTCTGATTACGGATTAGTGATATATAGAGATGAAGGATATGCAAAACGTACCGTTCACTATCCGAGCTGGTAAACGGGTAGGCTCGGTTGACACCAGTCAGAACTGCAGAGGTCAATTTATCCCGCACCTCTTCAGTCTGAGCCAGACCCTTATCAGCGTCCTCCTTCCCCTTGTTCTTGTTGTGCTTGTTGCCATACTTTCCATTCTTCTTTCCCTTTGGCTCCTTGTTAGGCCTCAAGAGAGCAACAAAGATGGAGAAATAGATGTCGAGCAACTTCAGGGCAACGGTCTCCTCCTTGACACTCAAGACCGTTTGGTTCAGCGTGATAACTGCATAGTATTTGGCGTGCTGACTCTGACCAGGACGGAAAAGAACTTCCTCGACGGCGGCGATGATGGTGGGCTTCATCAGAGGGTGCGCCTGTTCAAGTTGCAACAAGAGGTAAGATGCCCGCGAAGCAATCTTCTTCGAAGTATCTCCCAATTTGTTGACCAACAGTCGCAAAAGGTTCGTTTCCTGCTCCGGCTTCTCCTTGAGCAATTCATAAACGTAACTGACAGCTCTGGAGCGAGAGAACTCAATCTCGTCGTTACACCAGACTTCAAGGATCTTAAGGACTTCAAAGAATTGGTCCTTCAAGAAGTGCTCATACGCCCAAACAATCAAGTGGCTCTTCTGAAGCCCTCCAGGTAGAGGGTCTCCTTCGGACCACTTGCTGCCTGCGCCTTGCAACGCAGCAATAAGAGACGGCTGGTTGGCAAAAGCCCGGAGTCTCCTGTCGCTAGGAAGTAGGGTTCCTTGAGCGAACATATCCTTGAGCGACCTCAAGACTTCCACGGCCTGAGCACGGCTGCGCTTCTTTCCAAGGGCAATGAGGTTTTCCATTGCTTTCGTATTGTGAAGAGGCGATTCTTGAACAGCAAGAGTCAAGGCAGAGGTCTTATCGCTAAGAGTACCGGTAGACATAATCGTGCTGTAGAACTTGTGGGATGAAGAGGCAGATGCTTGCTGCGCTTCCGCGTACATCTTGTTTTCCTTCTCGAGGAGGGAGACGGCGT